GAGGGTGCTTGTGGACTGGAACAGCTGAGGGAGAGCTAATCTTGGCAAGGCTACCTGGTCTGTGGGGGACCTTCACTGTTAACAAAGAAGGGTTTCGTGGTTGCTTGCCCAGGTCAAAGTCAGGCAGAATTGTTCTCTGCGTGGGACCAAGGCGGAGAGAGTTTGGGGGCAGGGTGCCTGGGAAGCCAAGAGGGAGAGTGTTTCGGGCAGGGTGCCTGGGAGACTTTGAGTCCTGATCTATTGATTTTATTCTCTTCATCTGCAAACAAGAATCTTGAAACAGCTAAGACCATCATGCAAACTCAGTAGAATGACAGATTAACACAACTGGAGGAAAAGGTAGGTCCTTGCCAATCCCGGATCTTCTTCCCTCTTGCTTGTCTCACATCTCAGAAGATATTTCTAGGATGATGTTGGAAACAAAGAAAGCTGAGTGAGGTGGTACACACCTGAATTCTCCGCACTCTGGGAGCCCGAGGTAGAAGAAGCTAAGCTTGAGCTCAGCCTGGGCAACCTAGCATCTTACTGCGATTCTGACTCAATATATATATAACAAAAGAAAGAAAATGGCTGAGGACATAGCTAACTCCCTCGATCTAAGCCCCATGACTGAAAACAAAAACCAAGCACGAAATGGAAGGGCAGAAATACACTGAGGTGACTGCGCCTTAACCTCAGGGAAGCATACACACTAGCCTGCTGGCCCATGTGGAGCTTGATGCCCAGGCACATTTCCAGCTAAGTACTGAAGTCTATGACCAATCCCATAGCAGGAAGTGCATTTTGCCCCCTTGAATTGAATGAGTGACAGAGGACAAGCATGAGAAGGGAGAAATACCATTCTACCCACAGCAGTGATGGGCCTGGACCATTCTGGGTGCCATAGGCTAAGACAGAAGCAAATGCTCCAGGGGTACCTGGGAAGGGTCCTTAGGGCCCTGTTTTCTCCATCTAGTCACATGCTCCTTCCTTCAGTAAGTTACTAGAGTCTTACTAGTTTCCTGTGGCTGCCATGACAAATTACGACCATGACGGCTTGGATCACACAGCTTTATTCTCTTCTGAAGGTCAGAAGTTCTGACTCCAGGCCTCTGGGCTGCACTGCTGACTCAAGCTGCAGCAGGAGCTGGTTCCTTGTTATCTGAGCTGTTGGATGGGTCTGTCTCAGTCCTTGGCTCAAGCCCCTTCCCCCTCATCTGCAAAACCAGCAATGGTAGGTTGGATCCTTGTGTGTCACAGCTCTCTTTTCTCTCCTTCTCCCTCTGCTAAAAACTCTTATGATGACTCCGAGTCCATACAGATCAGACCAGACAATCCTATAATCCTTTATTACAAGAATGTCTAGCCAACATTAACTTCCCTGCTACTTAAATCCCCCTGCGTCAGGGAAAGGGACATCTTCTCAGGTTCCTGTAGCTGAGCAAGGTGAAAATGTAGAGGTAGAGAGAAACAATGATGAAGGCTGGGGTCAGATCACTAGGACACTCTGGACCGAGTGACTGGGCTGTTGCTCAGAGGACAATGGGGGACCAGTGCAGGGCTGTCAGGTCAGCAACAGGCTGTGAGTGGTGTTTAGAATAACCACCTACGGCTTCCAGTGATCCAGTGGCAGGGGAGAAAGGATGGGGGCTGGAGCTCTTTGGAGATGTGCATTGACACAGGCAGGACAACACCTGAGGCCAGCTGGCTGTGGGGAGGGATGGCCTCTGGTGGCCAGGGGCAGGTTCAGCAGCACAGTGCATAGGGCTGTGCACAGATTCGCTGACGGCTGAGCAAAACAGAATGAGCTTAGGAGGGCTGGACTTAGTAGCAGCTGTGCCTTTCCCCAGCACCAATGTCTGAGGCAGATGAGCGGGTCCGGGGGAGCTGTTGGGGTGAACCCAATGGATTCCCCATGGTCACTGAGCTGTGCTCCAGGGAAGGTCCATCGACACATTCCTCAGATGCTTGAATGCTGTCATGGAGAACAGATGGTGTCTTGGCTTTCGATGGCTTCAGGTCAAAGTGACACCTAAGAAAGGATGGATGAAGAGAAGCAGAAGTGGCACTGAGGTCGGAACACATGATTTCAACTCCTGAGCTTCCGTTCAGGTGTGGGGGTGAAGTGTTGCCCAGAGCAAACGCAACAGCCCTCTTGACACATGCCGGCTGCTCTCCCAGCTTTGCATGTCTCAAGCTGTTGGTCTGTCACACTGGTCTGTTGAGGCGGGTGCTGCTGTTACTGCCCTGGTAGAGCAGAGGCAAAAAGAGGTTGAGCTCCTGGCCCAAGGTCACACGGTGAGCACCACAGCCTGTTGCCATTCATCACAAATGTCTGCAAGGCCCAGGATCTCGGCAAGAAACAGAATCAGTGTCAGGTGTAGAACGGACTGTGATGGTACCTGGTCTTCACCTACACTGAACAAAGATGTCACCACAGTGCTGACTGCTGGCTGGTGGCCCGGCACTGCTCAGTCTCAGGAGCATATCTGCGCTCCATCTCTAGGGCCTGCAGTCATGCTGAGGATGTAGTAGTGGATGGGACAGGCTGATATCCCAGTGCTGCCAGGCTGGGTCTGAGGTGGTTCCCAAGGCTGACACAAGGAACTACCACATGTTCTTGTAGAACAAGCTTGTAGCTTCATTGACTCCCTTATGGAAAAAGAATTTTGAGGATGTGCTGGTAAGAGACACGGGAAGGCTTATTAGGCAGAGGCGTTAGGGCCAAGATTGGTTGCTCAGAAACCAATGCATGCTTGCTCAGAAATGAGATTCCTTATTTCCTGGAACTGGGAACATTTATGCTCCTCTTGAGGGTGGAAAACCCAGGAAAAAGCAGCCCCTCAGAAGGGTACCAGTCCATTCTATTAGGATGGGCCCAGTGTTGTTTTGTTTGGCTTTTAGGGTTTTTAAACATGCATTGTCTGGGTTCTCCCAACCTGGTCCTTTATCTTAGGTTCAGGCTTCTGCTCTTTACTTTCTCAAGTAAGCCAATGTGTGGACTTTCAGTGCTCCTGAGGGGTCTTGAGCGTAACGGCTCTGGCAGGGAAGCAGCCTAACATGAACCAGAGGAGAGCTGACCTGATCACCCTGGGCAACGTCAGCTGGGTCTGGGAAGCTGCTAATGTTTTCTCAAATGTGAAATTTTTTTAAGATTTCCATGACTCCTTTCTACCTCTTTTTCTTTCTTCTGTCCTACCTCACCAAGACAAAAGACAGTGATGTCAAATCCACACAAGATAGGACACTTGGATTATGGAGAGATTTAAAATAAAGTAAGAGGCTCGTGGTTGGCTGACTAGTGCAATGGGGTCTCTAGGGCGGTGACACTGGGACTTAGAACTGAAGAAGAGAAGCCACAGGCTGGGGAGAAGGCTGCAGGATAAGAAGGCTGTGTAGAAGTTCTGGCAGTGGGGAACCAGGCTTGTGGAGGTAGGTGGGAGGGAACAGGGGTGACTTGGTCATTGTCCAAAGGTACAACAGACTGGAGAGGTGGGCGCAGCTGTGTCGTCGGGCATCAGAGGGCAAGGCGAGGACACTGAGGCTGTGTCCTGGGGCCCTCAGGTTAGTGGAAGCTCTGGGATGTCACGCATGATCAGAGGGACAAGCTGCACATTCTAGAGGTTTTCATAGTATGAAAGATGAAGAGCAGGATGCCAAGAACACAAGTGTCATGGGCCCCTCGGGCTCACAAGCTCAGGATCTGTTGCTGGCAGCTGACCAACATCAAAGGAGGGAGGCCATTTCTTTTGGTAAAAAGGCAAAAGGATTTATTCAAAGTCAGCTCCCAGGAGATCAAATCCCCTCTTGACGTGTGGGTGGGCCAGGGTCTTTTACAGCAAGGGACAGGGAGGAGGGGGGCACAGAGAGACAGTGTGGATCTCCACGCTTGCTTCTCCACTTCTGGCCATTGCTGCTCATCAGCCCTTTTCCTGTGGAAAGAAAATGGAGCTGCGGCTTTTCAGGGCCACCCTTGCATGCTCTGTCTGCGCTTGGGGCTGAGGAGAGGAGTGGGTGCTGCTGATGTGCTCGGCAAGTCGCTTACCTTTGAAAGAAAAGGCTTACCTTTCAGAGTCTGTGTTGAGATGTCAGCCACAGAGGCAGCAGGATGAGTTAGGAAGATGCTGGAGTACACTTTCCATCGCTTGTGTCCTCCAACCCCAGGAAGCCAGAGGGCTAGCGTGTCATCTGCTCTCACAGAGAAGGACAGAGACCAGGAGTTTACACAACATGCCCAAGATCACCAGCTCTCGGAGTCTAGGGCCCGCAGTTCCAGGCATGTAGACTTGGTCCACGACGTCAGGGTGTGCAGCAGAGTGGGCTGCCCCCACTTGCATCTCTCTGTGGTCCCAAAAGGAACCTTGTGGGGACCCCAGAGCCAAGCTCAGCCTCTGATTTCCCATTGGCAAATGTGGATAAAATACTGCTCCCTCCAGGGTGGCTCTGAGTGGCTGACACGTGCAGAGTGATCAATACATTCTTGTCTGTAAAGTTCCTTCACCATGTAACCACACAAGTACCAGGGGGAGTGGTGAGCCTGGGCTGCTGTTGGCTGTGCACACCCTTTGGAATGGTCTGAGAGTCCCGGGGATGCACAGGGTGAGGACCCGCATGCACTCTGAAAAAAAAGAAGGAGGACGGAGGAGGGCGGACTGTGACCCCGCGCCACAGTGAGCTCAGCAGACTGACATAGGAATCTGCCCAGGGCCTAAGCAGCCGGAGCAGGGGAAGTGAAGACGCAAGGGAGACCCTGACTTGGGAAGGGAGTTTGCATCCCACCTCACCTCTATCCTTGCTTTATGAGGTCGGCCCACTCTCCACTCTGCTTGCTACGCCTGGGGCTCAGGATGGCACCCCACCAGGAGAGCTGAGGCCAAGGAACACAGAGGGTGCCCAAGGCCCAGGCCTCCTTCCTCCCAGAAGGCCCAGGCCCCGAGTGTAGGGTGCGGCCTCTGGCCACGCCTCCCCTTACAGAAAACCAATTGGCAGACACCAATTTCCTTCTTTCGCTACAAAAACAGGAAGGGAAGCCGGGATGTCTGTTCACAGTCTCCTTCCTGAGCTCCGCTCTATACATCAATGTTTATATGGCCCTGTGCTTTTTCTTTAACCTGACTCTGAGGAGACAAAAAGAAGCTTGCTGATGAAGTTTTCAAACTTACAGTCAGAAGGAGGTAACGCGGGACAAAGGAGAGTAAGACTTAAGGGTTGCTTCCTCTGGGTCCCTGCTTCTGTGGGGCGACTCCACTGACCCGGAACAGAGCAGAGGAATGGACTGTGTTCTGGAGGTGTACACTCCTCCAGGGGCATTAGGGACCAGCACAGGACAGGAGGGACTGTCAGCTGACCTGGTAAGTTGAAACAGAAGTGGCAGCTGGCCTTCTGTTTTATACACAAATTCCTAGTTCTTTTTTTAAGAGGAAGAGGTGTTGTCCTAGGGGAGGGTTCCTGAGACACATCCTTAATAAAAGGTCACCGGGGAGGAAAGGAGGGAGACCCTGTGGGGTTCCTGGGGGAGTCCCCTCATATCTTCCCCGGGGTTCAGCGAGGGTGACAGGTCAGCAGCGACTGAGGACCTCACTGCCCAGCCAGGGACCTTGGCTCTGTTTCTAGGATGAAAGTGCCACCCTTTAAGGGCAGAGCCTGGGGACAGGCCCATCCTGAGGCAGGCTGTCACGCTGCTGTGCCTTCTTTCCTCTAGAGGCCCTCCCGCAGGGCCCTTATTATAACGGAGGGAACTACTACGCAAGTCACTGTTTTGGCAACAAGGTGGAAGTGCCTGATCCCGTGCCAGGGGCCAGTGCCGCTCGCTCGGATTCGAGGGTTGCACAGGACGGAGCTCTGGGAATAGTTGGGCCACACTTCGGTTAAGCTTTCTTTTTTTTCTTTTCCATAATTTTATTGAGAAACAAATGCAATGAGACAGTTTCAAATCAAATTGGTAGGACAGTTTCAATAATTCACACATTGCATACATTCTTCCTAGTGGTTAATTGCTGTACAAGACACGGACTTGAGATCCTATTTACAAACACCATTAGAACAAATCCCTCTATTCATTAAGAGAATGTAACTATATATCTATCCTAACCACTTTGAATACACAGATACAAAATGGACATTCATCTGTATCCCCTTTTTTGTTTAGTTCCATTATTTTAATATTATAAGTGTGTAAACTCAGCAAAATATTCAGACACACATGTGTAAATATCATACAGTTTCCCTAGTATAAGAACGCAAAAGAAGAAATACAAATAGAAAGGTATAATACAAGTAAAAGGAAAGCAGGATCTCGAGGACTAACTAATCAAGAGAGGGAAAGGAGAAGAGCTAGGAAACATGACAATGTCAAGCCATACAGTTATATGTAGAAGATGGGCAAGGCAATGATCCTGAGAATCTCCAGAAGATTTTTTTAATCTAGCAGTTAATTGTAAAGATTCTCACTCTGACTAACTATACATACTGACACCTGTGATCTAAGCAACTGCATTGAAGATGGCAATTTGTAATAGTAGGTTCATGCTTGGAGTGCCTGTCATTCTGGTCTTCTGACTACGGGCTGCTTGTCATGACATGCCAGTTGCTGCTGTTGTCTCTTGGGTAGATGATTGTTCAAAAAGAAGGGGGTGGTGCATGAAAGCAGGAGACAGGAGAAGGAATGTTGCGGGACTGTCCTGCTACAAGGTTGTATATGGTGAGATTTCCAGTTAAGCTTTCACAAAGCTCTTACTGAGCTGGCTGCCTCTGGGTGCTGGTTACAACCCTGCCTGAGAGGATGCAGTCCCGGCTGCAGCAGGGCTCACACTACAGCCGAGTCCAGTACGGCTGCCAGGCACCACAGCGACAGGCAGGGATTGTGAGGAGGACTGGAGCCCATGGGCAGGTGTGGTTGGGGTGAGCTGTCCTCCCTTGTGCTGGGGAAGCCACTGAGCGAACCCTCAGGCAGGAGAGCAGTGGGGCCTGGGCCTGGGCTGGGGTGGGCACGTGGGAGCAGACAGAACTGAGATGCAGCCTGGACGTGGAACCAGCGAGGCCCTGAAAGTGGCCCAGGGCTAACAGGGAAGCGCAGGGAACCACAGGCGGTGCTGTGATCCCAGCTGAACCAGAAGCTGCTGGGCTGCTGGCTGAGAACTGGGATCATTCCTGGGGTAGGGAGGGGAAAAACATTCTGGGACCATCCAAGTGGTGCTGTCAGGTCCACAGCAGGCGGTCCGGTCTGGAGTTCAGAGATGCTGTTTTGGTCCACATTTTGTCCCATGCAAATGGAAACTGCTTCTGGTCCTCCCTCTGACTGGCTTGGGGAAACATCTGCCGTCCAATCAATGGCTTCAATGAACACCAAGCCATTGAACATTGATCTTTCTGCATCAAGGAGAGATGTCGAATCAGGCAGCTGCAGTTGGGCTGCTGCTGGTTCGTTTCTAAAGTGCTGGGTCTTCTGCTGTGAAGGGCAGACACACAGAGGACGTTCACCCTGTTTTTCATAGGGTCAGACCAGTCAGCCAAGTGGCACATGACAGAGACCCTCCATTCTGGAGGCTCCAAGACCCTCAGCCTGCTCCTGGGACATGACATTGTCTGTGTCTCCCGTCTGGGCAGGAGGAGGGAGTCCTAGGGCTCCTTGGCGCTTCTGGTCCACGAGCCTGCGATGTGCCCATACTGACGAGGCACAGAACCAGGGACTGAATTCAGGCCCTTGCACTTGCCAGGCAGCACTTATTCTGCTGAACTGTCTCCCCAGCCCGAGCCATCTCACTGGCCCCACACTGTTTTGTTGATTGGCGTGGGCTAGGCCAATCAGGGCCTTCACCTTTGTTTCTGGGATGGGAATAAGGACAGCATACAGTAAAGGTATTTTGCATTTCTTTATGATTCACTCTTGCTAGGCTATATGTATCCATGAACTTACCCATTTATTCTGATGTATTCAATGTTTTGTTACTTTTAATATTTAAAATTGCATATTAGTAGAACATAGCTAAACATATCTTGCCAAGTAAAATCATCACTCCACTTCAAAACGTGTGTGGAAGACAGAGTGTATGTGATGCAGAAAGGAAAGGTAAATCATTGTGAGCACTTCAGGCTAGAATGAAGTTAAATTTTCACTATAAAATAATAAGTTTTCATGATTAGAAAAAAAATAGGAACCTTTCACCCAAATGTGGAAGGAAACAAAACCAAGCACCTTACCGGAAATACTGTGACTGATCGTTCGTATTTGCTTTCTGACCTGAATGGGTGGTCCCACATCACAGTTTCCTCACCAGGCAGTGGGGAGCTCCAGCTGCCCCAGAGGAAGACAGACACCATGGTTGCAAACAGCAGTGCGCGCTCACACAGCCATTTCCTTGAGGTTATTTATGAATGGAGGGCTGGATTCTTGGCAGAGGAAAGTAGCTTATCACTAATGGATTTTACTCCCGCTACTTAGCCATCCGTAAGCTCTCCAGCCCTCTGAGCAGTCCTGTGTCCACATTGTCCTTGTTTACTCAGGTCTCAGTCCACTTCCTTTTTCTCTTATCTCCACTTTTTATAGTTGGAACAATGAGTCTGCAATTCTAGAAAAACCCTAGCACCAAAATCCTACCCAGCTCACAAAAGACCAGGGAGAGACAGCGGGTTTGCTGAATGCTACTTTAACATATGAGATTGGGAACGTGGACCAAGGGGCTGAGACCCTAGAGAAGATGGCCAGTGCTTTGGCTCACCAGCAGTGTCTGGCTGAACAATCAGCATCCTTGATGCCACCAAGCACAGGTGACCCTTGTTGTAGCTCAAAAATCGAATGACAACAAGGCAAGTCCAAAAGTTAAAGAAGCGCTTTATTTTAGCTGGTACCCAGCAGCAACACCCGGCACATAGTGCCTAAGTGCGCGCCGAAGGTGGGGAGCGTGGGGTTTATAAAGCTTAAAACCGCAAAGCTGGTGGGGTACAACTCAGGGAGTTCAAGGAGACATGGCAGCTGCTGAGACTAGATACGGTTAGGGGTCTGGAGAGGTTCTTGGAATTTAAGGGTGTAAGAACAGCAGTGGACACTTTTGGAGCTCAAGGGTGGGGTGAGGGCTTGCAGAAACAGAAGTTTTGTGAAATAGGCACATTTTACAGCAGCTGACATGGTTCACTAAGATGGCACATACAGAACACGATGGCGGCGCTTTGGTCAGGTTATAACAACCCTCAGTTAAGTGCTGCTTGGAGGGGGAACTTGGCTCCCTCCCACACAAGTCACAAAGGTGGGACAACTTGACCCGATCTACACTGCCAAAGGGATGATGCCGAATGGTAGACACTATAGATCCTTCAAGGTGTTTGCTGCATAGAAGGCTCCAGAAGGCTCTGGACCCACGTGGCAGACCCAGAGGTGCTGCCCTAGAGTGAATTGCTTTCTGCCCAGATTCTCACAGGAACTTGGAGGTCTAGGAGAGCCCCAGTGTCCCCCACCTCTCAGTTTTTACCAACAGATTTCCCTGAAATTGAGACCCAGTTCTGCAGGTGCTGCTGGCCATGCAGAGAGCGCAGTGGGTGCGTTTCACTTCCTCCTATGTCTTGGGGAAGCTGGAGATGGGAAAGGACAAAGGCTTCCGCCCTGGTTCCTGGCCATGTGGCCTCAGGTACATTATCAAATCTCTGTGAATTCGGTTTGCTCAATGTCCCAGGACTAACCGTGTGTGTACCCACAGCCTTGCACTTGCAGGGTCTGGTAGTGGAGGTGGGTCTTCTTCCTGGGAGGTGAGCAGAGCTCCGAGTGCAGGTTTCTTCACCGCTCACTGCGGGGGTGCAGCTTCCCTTCCAGCTCCTTAGTCTGGAATGACTCACTGGTTCCTTCTGACATGTTGCTCAAACAATCCCAGTTAAATGCTGATCGGTATCAGTTTCTGAAAATAGAAGCCAGCAGTGGCTGTTTACTTAGGCTTCCACTTGGCTGTGGCCAGCTCTCCTGGCTTAGCCCATGCACTGGAATGATGTTATCTGACCTCAGAGCCATTGCAAACTCCACTTGGAGCTGCCCCAGGGGCTGCAAAGGAAGCTCAGACTGAGTGGGCTTGAGCAGCCCGGAGGAAGGCAAGGATTTTAGTCACTTTATTCTCATGTGACACAATGCCTGACACCAGCAACACAAAGGCAGAGAGGTTTATTTTGGCTCATGCTTAAGACTTTCAGACTTGCATGGCTGGTCAGCTCCAGGCAGAAGCACCTGGTGGAACAGAGTTGTGACCAGATGTCAGGCAAAAGGAGAGCAAAGGAAGGAGCGGGAAGGGAGGTTGATAGGTCTTTTTTAAGTACTTGGTGCAGCAAAAAAACAGGCAGAAGAAAAAAAGAGAAAGGGGCTTTACTTTTTTTT